TGTTCATCAAAAGTGGCTGCTAATTTTGGTTTTGAATTTACTTTGATTGCTGTTGAAGCCGTCATTATTGTCTTACATCAATACCCAATTTCCGGTATTATATTATGGAGTGCGATCAGTGTAGTCTTCTGGTTCAAGATTGATTTCCAACTCGCTTGCAAAAGTTGATGAAGGAAATGAAAAGGGAAAGAGCAGAAAGACATAGTTTGTCATTGCTATATGAAACAAAGTTCAACCTATAGCTGAATTAGTGGTATGCTATTTATGAAAATGTTCCGAAAATGAAGAGACCATGAAGAATTAGTACTTATGATCTTGAGGAGAGGTTGATAGAGAAATTTTAGGTGCAGCACTTTGTTCCATATCTCTTCATTTTGGTTCCTTTCCACATCTCTTATGGTTAAACTTGGGTTATAATCGGCCTGCCTTTTCACTTTGTTAATTAGGTGCACTTTTTTGTAATTTCATGAACCTACTATGCCTTTGGTTGTTAGTCTTGTTTGCCCATTCCATTTCTTGCTTCAAGTGTCTTAAATTTCCTTAAGCCCTTGCATTTAAGGGGTGTTCTTGAATTTAGTTCTTCCAAAGGTTTGGATTTTCATTTTTCCCGTTTCTCTTGGCTTTGCAACAAGTTGGTGCATAACATTCAATTTTTTATGGTTGCAATGAGACCTCTCCAAACTCAATTCACCCTAAGATAAAGCATCCCGGGATTTCGGTGATCAGAGACTGGAAACATTGGTTCATGGTTGTCTCTTTTCATTTGAAGTTTCTGGTATACTGCTTTTTTGTTGACTGTGATGATTTTGGTAATGCTAGGTATTTGTGACCTTTTGAGTTCAGAGTTAGAATATCATCTTCTGTAAGCAATCTTGAGCTCAAATTATTAAAGGTTGGGTGTGTGACAAAGGGAACTTAGTGAGCATTAAGTCAACACGACCCTGAAGATCTGTCAATATAATTTTAACTTCTTACGTTTTGTGAGATTATTTCAAGTACCGCCTTCTTTATATGTTAATTACAGAAGTTTATTTGCTGTTTGATATGAATTTTTCCTGCCTCCCTGGAATTCTGTTTCCATTTTTAATTTTTCAAATTCCCAGTGGAGCGTAAAACAGTCATCTGTTAAACCATTGTTTCTGATACTCCGTGTTCACCATGAAGCCTTTACGAATGATACGTAGGGCTAAGCATTTGAAGGAAGCAAATTCAACTCAAACAAAAAAAGAAAAAGATAACCACATTTCTTTTCTTTTTATTATTTTGGTTCAGGGAAAATTTTATGGTGAAAGAGTAAACAGGCCAACAGGGATATAAATGTGTACATCTTTACAGAGATCCATAGGGTGTTATCAGTTATAATATATATAAATATATATTGGTAAGAAGTAGAATCATACATGTTGCTTTTAAATAAATGAAATGTGTTGTCAAAAAAAAAATTGATGTTCTAACAGTGTAAAAAGAATACCTAGAAACTAGAAAGCATGACCAAGACACAGTTTGCTTGTTTTCATGTTATGCCTTTATGTTTCCTCATTGTTTGTTGTTCTCTCAGTTTTATTCTGATTAGATCTTGATTTTTTTGTTACATTTGTACAGGTGATGCAAACAGCATCAGTATCGGAACCAGAACCAACATTCAAGACAATTCTCTTGTTCATGTAGCCAAATCTAACCTAAGTGGGAAAGTCTTGCCTATCCTTATTGGCGACAATGTCACCGTAGGTTAGTATCGTAACCTTTATCTATATTAGACATGCTTAGATTAGTTGTGATTGGAGTTTTCTTGAGTCTGAGGGTTAATTTACACATTGGATGGATTAGGTCATAGTGCTATTTTGCATGGATGTACTGTGGAAGATGAGGCATTTGTTGGTATGGGTGCAACATTGCTTGATGGGGTTGTTGTAGAGAAACATGCTATGGTTGCTGCTGGTGCTCTTGTGAGACAGAACACAAGAATACCCAGTGGAGAGGTTAGTGGTATTTTTGGCTCCCTGTAAAAAATAATGGCAATTTGCTATTTTACGCTTACTTACTGAAAGTTACTGAAGTTACTACTGTGGTTTAGCTAACTACAGAAGTTTCAAACTATCTTTTCAAATTACTTTTCCCTTATGGTTGGTGAATAATCGTTGACATTTGTTCCTATTTTACAAAATAT